CCCCGGGTGCCCCCCCCCCCCCCCCCCCCACCCTGCCACCCTTCTGAGCAGCTGCAGCTGGGCGTCCTGCCCCTGGCAGAGCAGCAGCCGGCGGGGGAGGGAGTGAGTGGAGAGGAGTCAGGCCAGCCTGCCTGCCTGCCTTCCATGCCTCAGCGTTGGGTCTGCCTCCCCTTCCACGCTCCTGGCTTGTGCATCTGAGGGCAGCAGCCCGCCAGGCTCACTGGCCTGTAGCTTCCAGCAGCCAGGGGCTTTGCCTTCAGGGTGGTCAGGAAATGACGCAGGGGACAAATGAACAGTAGGGAGGGAGCCTCTCACTGCTGGGAGACAGGAGGCAGGCGTGACTGCGCTGGAGAGAGGGACTTTTTCTGTTTTCCTTTAGCTTCCACTATAGGGCGTGTGTACTTGCTGGAGAGAGACAGAAGACTGGGGAAGTGAGAAATCACCCCCAGGAGGATGGCCACACTGCAATCCCTTTTCGGGATTTTGGGCTCACACACACGTGTACTGTGGTTTTTCAAGCTGCTGGGTCCAGGACTCCAACCATGTGGTCAGCCTTGTGGGATCCAGGTGCTGGCCAGGTAACTAGTTTTAAGACATATTCTAGGAAGTTCAGGCTTTATTAGACACCCTTGGCTGTCTGGGGAAAGCCAAAGTGGGCCGGGAGAGGTCTAAGGAGCCCAGCAGTCTTGGGAAGGCCGCTGGCTGAGGGGCCTGGGACCAGTCCTGCTGATCCGCCTCCTGGACGGTCACATGGTGAGAATCTGCTTTGAAGACATGAAGGGCTTCCCTGCGGACTCCAAGGCTCGCTGGTAGTCCTGCAATGGGACCTCGGAGCAGGCAGGGGCTGTGAGCTGGCCTCGGCCGATGAGGTCACACAGTGTGAGGATCAGCGCCTGGAACTCGGCTGTGGGAGGGTAGTCAGATGGGCCGGTCAGTGCTGGGACTTGGCAGGGTGTGCGGGCTGCCCCTGGGGGCAGGAGGTGGCACCCAGAGCCCTGGCTCTGCCCAACACAATGGCTGGGCAGGCAGCAGGGTGCCCCACACCAGGATGGAGAGCCAGGGTGTGGATGGAGAAATGTGGGGAGCAGCCCTTGGGCCCATGGCAGGCAGGGGCCACCCTTCAGAGGATGGCTCTGATGGCTCTGGCCCACAGGACCTGACGGGTGTAGCTGGGCAAAGGTGGTGGGAGGGCAGGGAAGCCCGAAGAGGCACAGGGAGGGAGCTGGCGCCTGGCACCTCGCTGATGTGGGGACCCGTGCACTCTGCTTAGAGAAAGGCACTTTGCTGGAGAGCCTGGGATCCCTGGGGCCCCAACCTGAGGCCAATCTCCTGCCAGGAGTCCAGCAGGAAGGTGAGGAGCCCTGGACCTGAGGCCCCTCGGCCTGAGGACACCGAGCTCCTGCCGAGTCTGCTGCAGTGTGGGAAGGTGAGAAGCCCAGGCTCGGTGCAGAGCTGGTTCTGCTTAGACACAGGCTCACCCGACACTCAGTCTGGCCCGCCTTCTGCTTCCACACACCACACGGCTCCCAGACTGCCCTCAGATAGTCTGAACTCCTCAAAACCGGTGAGAAGGCCTTTTATCTGGACACGGCCCACCTGCCCACTTCCCAGCTGCAACTCAGCCCCCGCGCTGGTCCCTCAGAACCACTCGGGCCCGGCGCACGGCTCACTGTCTCTGACAGCCTTGCATGAGCGTTTCCTGCCTGGGGCACCCCCTTTATGGGACCGCGTGCTGCCTTCACCAGGAGTGCCACGGCCAGCTTCTCAGCCGGACTCGCACCCTGGGTGCTGTCACGGGGAGGTGTCCTGGCCGAGGGCTGACGTGCTCACCACCTGGCTGTGCGGCCCCTGGTGGAGGTGATGCAGGGCAGGCTACTTGAGCATGCTACACGTGGGGCCTGCCTCCTGTCACACCGGGCTAATGAGAGCTTAAACTGCACGGTGTCTCAGTCGAGGCAGAGGCCTGGGTGCCTGGCCCACAAGTGGAGGCAGGATGTGCCGCAGGCTGGCTGTCCCCCAGGGCACCACTGGCTCCTCGGAACAGGGCAGTGCCTGTCTTCTGGATGCAGCAACCCTGAGGACGGCTGGATAGCTCCAACCACTGCTTGCTAGATACTCTTAGCTCGTGGGGCGGAGGCCAGTCACCTCCTGGGCAGGGTCACTGCAGCCATTCCTAGCAACTGCCCTCTCCTGTGCCCTGGCACGGAGGCCGTCCTCCACTCACCTGGACTGTGGTCCTTTTTCCACTGGGACAGCCAAAAGCCCCGGAGTTTGAGATCCTTAAAAATGAGGAGGCCCTGTGGACACAGGAAGGACACACTGAGGCTGAGGGCGGGAGTTTCAGGTGTGCTCAGGGTCCCGATGTCCCCTAGGCTGGGGCTGGGCCTTCCCCCTGCCAGCTTACCACAGAGGCTACGACGGGCTGCTTGGCCATCCCCCCGTAGGTCACCATGGTTCCTCCAGGCCTGAAAAGTCCGAGAGAAGAGTGGGCGCAGGCGGGGACAGCCCTTGACCCCCACCTGCTTCTGTCCCAACACTGGTTCCTAAACCCTGTTCTTGGAGGCCTTGGGACAAGTTCCCAAAATACAGATCCCTGGGCTTGACCCAACTTCAGGAATCAGGAGCATGTGTGTGCATGCACACATGTGCACATGTGCATACACACGTGCACGCGTTCTCTCTCCAGATGACATGGCTGTCCGGCCAGGGCAGGAACCCCTGGCAGCGCCCACTCTGTAACTTGATTAGGGCTGAGGCCAGACGGGGAGGCCGAGCCTGCCGCGGTGCTGGGAACTGGGCAGGGCCGCGAGGACCAGCCTAGACCTTGCCTCCCTCTGCGGATGCTGGTTCCCCAGGTGGAGCCACGTGGTCTACACAGGCATGGCTCACCACAGGGATCTGGCCAGTCCCTGCCCTCAGCCTCCCATGCGCTGGCCAATGCCAGCCAGGCCACTCTGGTCGGTTTTTCTGGATGGCATGTGTGCTCACCAGAGGCAGGGGGAGGAGAGCACCTGTGGGAACTGGTCACACTGCACCCCTTCTCTCTCCCTCAGGGATGTGGGCACTTGGTGTTTCTCCAGCACCCAGTGTGGGGCTCAGGGTCCGACCGCCTTAACCAGCCGGCAGAGCTGGCCAAGGCTAGTAAAGGTTCGTAAAGTGAGTTGGCTACAGCTTCACACGCCTGCCTTGACCTGTGTCTCCACCTCACGCCCTGGCCCTTGGAGGAGTGGATGGTCAAGGATCAACGGGGCACATCTGAACAGAAGGAGCTGCTGGGCCAGGCAGGTTGCAGGGTCCTAGGTGTCCCTGGCCGCTGCCTGGTCTGGAAAGCAGCTCTGGGGGCACATGCTGTCTGTACCCTTGCTGTGTGATCTCATCCCGGCAGCAAGCCTTCGCCAGGTGTCTGCTGCACGCCAGGCCCAGTTTAAGCATTTTGTGTGTGGTGTCCACGAATCCTTGTAGTAACCCCAGGGAAACACTTGTGTCTGGACTTTTTTTTTTTTTTTAAATTTCCAGAGGTTGTGTGCGTTTGCTGGAGAGACAGGGAAAGTAAGAAAGCACCCTCCTGGGGGATGGTCACATGCAATCCCTTCTCCTCCACCTCTCTCCTTCAGGACTTTAGGTGCCTGTGCGCACACATGCCCACTCGGTCTGGGGCACGACAGTAGTCGGCCGCGTGGGATCCAGCCACCTTAACACGCCACCTGCTGGTCTGGGAGCTAACACGCCATCCTCAAGTTGCAGATGAGAGAGCTGAAGGCCACCCCTCGTGTGTGCACCACCTGAGCGTCCTCGAGATTAACCTTCAGAGACACGAGGGCTTCTATCACTCAGTCTTAAGAGATGAAGAAACTGAGGCCTGGGTGACTTTCAAGTGTCACAGGCCCACACTAGGAAGTAGAGCTGGGCTGGAACTGGGCCACTCCGACGCCATGCCCACATCTGTAACCACCGCATACGTTTGCTTCCTCCCACCAAGCTGCCCGGTGTAGGGCCAGGGGCGTGCTCCCGAGTCACACGAACGCGGGTCCAGCCTGGCTCTTCTGCTGCTACACCTTGGAAGGGTGTGTCCCTCTCTGGGGTGCGTTCTTCATGTTAATCGGAGGTTGGAAGTGCACCCTCGTCGAGGTTGCAGGGGAGGGCGTGGCAGGTCCTGCGCAGCCTGGAGACCCCTGGCGCTCCTCACGGCAGCCCTGGCTGTCTCAGCCGTCTCGGACCGGGGGCTGCTGAGCACTCAGGAAACTGTGTTGAGGGAATCGACACTGCCAATCAAGCCTGCCTGAGGTGGGCAGCGTCCTCGCAGGCGCTGCTAGCTTGGGAAGTTGGCATTAAAGGAAGAACAGGTGGCCGTGCCCCATGCCCACGCTGTCTAACCCCGCTCCCTCGATGCCCACCTGTCCACGTATGGCTGCGTGCTCAGCACAAGGTGAGCTCCCCAGCGAGAACCCACCATTAGCATGCATACAGATGGTGAAAGCTAATCGGCTAAGACCCCCTTGGTGAGGAATCCATGCCCATGCCTACCCACACAGAGCTGGGCACCCTACCGCTGGGGTCCCTGGAAAATGAAGCTGGGTGGGTGTCCCGGCTGCCGCCAAGGCGGAGGCTGAGGAGTATGAGCCTGAGAGCTGGCAGCTCTGCTCCTGGTTTCCTGCCCAGCGTCATGCCGACTGGCCATAGCCTGCCCTGGCTCCCAGGACTCGGTCCTTCCCGACAGTCCGGCAAGGCCAGCAGGGCCAGGGGACTCACGCCAAGTGCCGCAGCAGCTCCGTGGAGCTCTTGCCTCCCACGCAGTTGAGAGCCAGCCGCGGCTGGGGGACGTCCTGGAAAACAAGGGACGCAGTGAGGCCTCTGCGGCTGGACGGGCTAGGCCACGTGGCGCGCCCAGGTGGGAGTGCGGCCTCCCACTTCCCTGCCCAGAAACAGCCTTTCTTCTCTAGCAGCTGAACCCGCCACCTCAGGACTCGGTTCACGCCCGCCTCCTCTGGGGAGACCAGGAGCAGCTACCGCAGTCCATCCGGCCTCTCCGAGTGCTCCTCAGCTACTTGGGACCCAGCCGAGGCAGGCGTATGGACCCACTGCTTCAGAAAGGTGTGCGGGAGGCGTGCGAGCGGAGTGAGCGCGGGGCTCCTTGGCATGCTCGCTGAGAAGGCTGGGGCAGCGGTGGCCTCCGCTGAGCGTCCAGGGGGCTGAGAGGCTTCGTGCCCAGAGGGTGCGGGCTGGCCCTGACTTGGGTCTCAGCAGGGTCCTGTGTCCGTGCTGAATTTTTCTGGTGGGGATGGTCAGACCCCATGCGCCGGGTGCTGGAGACGCGCTCCCCGCCGTGCGCAGTGTGCTCGGGTCCTTCCTCCCCGGGTTGCGTGGCCCACCGCAGATGTTTAAAGCTGTCACACACGGGGCTCCAGACCTGGGTTCTCCTGCCCCCCGCACCTATGTGCTCAGTGCATGTGTCCCCTGGCTCAGGGGACTGGCTTCATCCCCCCAAGGAGGGGCAAACGGGCTCTGGCCACTGTCAGCAGGGCGACCCGCATTCCCACTGTGGCTCTGCGTTGTCCAGAAGGTGGGAGGTGGGGGGCACGGGGCACTGCCCCCAGGTACCTTCAGGAGGTCTGCCGTCTCAGGCTTCCTCAGGTCTTCCTCTGTGATGACGTGCTCCGCCCCCAGATCCTTCAGCCTGTCAGTCACCTTCTGGATGTCAGGTCTGGAAGGGCACAAGCCGGGCCATCACGCCTGCTGGCTCTTCCCTGAAGGGTCCTGGGGGAGCTCCGCCTGCAAGGCCGTCCCTGTGTGGGGTCCCTCCTCCCCCTGCAAGGAGCTCTTCACGGGTGCAGGTGCTCCACTCAGGGGTGGCCCTGGCTCCTGGCCCAGGCAACTGGGCCCATCTGTGTGACCACGCTGGGACGTGGAGGCCCGAGTGAGCATGGACTGTCTACTAGGACAGGCTTGGCAGACATGGCACGTCTGTGGGCACGAGACAGCATGGGAAGAGAGGCGTCGGGCCCGAGGCCTGTTCTGCCTTGCCCATCCTGGGCAAGCTTCCTCTCTGAAACTTTTGTTTCCTCATCTGCAAAAGACGGCGCACCCGCCTGGCCCCCTTCACACCCTGCACCCAGGAACCACATAAACACGAAGGCCAGAGGCCGTGGGGCAGCTCGGGAAGAGCACTGCCACGCGACATTTCTGAACATGGGCCGTGGCTTTGAAACTGGGTCCCCCAGGTGGAGTCTCCAGCTCCCTCAGCTGCCCAGTGGGGTGGCGTCCCCTCTCTCCTGCCCCTCCACATCTCAGAGGTCCGCTTGGCCCACAGCCACCTGAACCTCACACCTCTGTCAGCTGCCTCCAAGTTCCAAGAAGCAGAAAAGCGGCCGCGGCCTGGGCAGGGTGCCCTTGGTGGGGACGGGGCCGCGGGGCGACATACCTGCCCCGGAGCACGTTGATGGTACGCAGGCCCCGGGCGGCGGCGATCTGAATGACTGCCTGGCCCACGCTGCTGTTGGCCGCATTCTGGATGACAGAGTCCCCTGCAGGGCCAGGAGACCTGGTCAAGGCGGCAGGTCGGCCGGGCCTAGGCCCCACTGGGGCCTCCTGTCGGGTAAGGAGCAGCGTCCTCGGGCTCACCTGGCGTGGGGCCTTCCCAATCCCCGTGCATGCCCTCTGTCCTCCTCGTAAAGCATCCTGAGCTCTGCCGAGGCTGTCCCCGTTGCCCTCCTCTCCCCCTTGCCAAAATTCGGCCCTTGGAAGTGCAGCTGGGCGTGGCTCCCTCGGCCTTCCCCAGCGGCCTGTGCCAGCGCACACCTGGCTGGCCGGCCTGCGCAGTCCTGCTGTGGACTGGGGAAGCGCCCGTGCTCAAGGTGGTTTTCAAGCCACCAGGTCTGAGACTCAGACTGCAGTCAGCTATGCCAGCTGCTGGCCCCTGTCTTATGTCTTAACTAAAAGGTTGGAAATTAAAAGAGTGAAGATAGCTTACATGGGTTGTCAGAAGTCATGTCGCAGTTTTACATAAAAACGTGTCGCGACTTTTCCATGACTCAGAACACGGACGTGAAGGAAATGTGTTTGTGCAGCCGTGCAGGGTGTCTGTGCTTTTAGCTAAGTGTTATGAAAAAGCCAGAAAGCTAGAGAGATCTGGACCAGCAGATGGCGTAGTGGTTATGTCACTGGACTCCCATGCAGCTGACCATGATTCGAGTCCTGGACCCAGTGGCTTAACATTCACTCCAGGTACATGTACGCGTGTGCCCAAGACCCCAAGAGACCAGAAGAGAAGGGATTACAGTGTGGCTATTCCCCTGGGAGGTGATTTCTCGCTTTCTGTCTGTCTCTCTGGCGATGATATGCACCCTATAACAAAAATCTCTCTCTAAAAAAAAGTTAAAGTTCATAAAGTTGGGACCAGTAGCGGTGTGGTGAAGGTGCTGGACTTCCATGTGGCCAACCACGATTTGAGTCCCAGACCTGGTGGCTTGAAAATCATGCCAGGCACGTGTGTGTGCGTGCCCAGAGGAAGGGGCAGGATGGAGGAGAATGGACCGTGGCCTGACCATCCCCCTCGGGGTTGGGGGTGGTTCTTCACATCCCCTCTCACTGTCTCTGGAAGCCCACATGTCCTAAGGCACAAACCTTAAAAGCAAAGTTCCCAGGGGCCAGCAGGTGGCGCAATGGTGACGTTGCTGAACTCCCCTGCAGGCCACTGCAGTTCAAGTCCCGAACCTGGTGGCTTAAAACGCACATTGGGAGTGTGTGCACGTGTGCCCGAAATCCTGAGAGGAGAATGGAAGAGAGGGGGGCCATCCCCCCAGGGAGCGATTTCTCACCTTCTCTGTCTCTCTGGTTAAGTGCACGCACTATAGCAAAAACCTCCCTTAAACAAAACTCACTAGGTCAGAGCTACTGGGAACTAAGGTGCCGTTGGAGAGAGGCCCGAGGTGTGCAGTGCAGCCCACGCGCGACTGCAGGGTGCAGGGTCCGCCACTCCCATGCACCTCCCAGTCCCACCGGCTCCACCCGGGAAAGCACCCTATATGAGGCTTTTTTTTTAAAAAAAAATTACTTTATTTTATTTATCATCATTATTTTTCTGTTACAGGGCACATGTGCTTACCAGAGAGAGAGAGAGGGAAAGTGAGAAAGCAAAGCTGTTAGGTCGGGATTCAAGCCACGCTTGGCCATGTGGAAGTGCAGTACCCTAACCGCCAGGCCACCTGCTGGCCCCACATGGCACCTCTGTGAAACCCCTATACCACATATTGCTACCAGATCCTTCCAACGTTCACACAGGTTGGATGCACAGACCCACCCCCGCGTCACGGCTGCCACACACTCAGTACAGGGACATGCCTGCACACGTGGCCTCGGCGTGTGGCAGGACTACCATCTGGATGTGGGTAGGCTGCTCTTAGACGTCTGCACAATGACAGAGGTGCCTAATGATGCATTGCTCAGAATGTGTCTCTGTCGCACGCCGATGGCTGTCTTGAGCTGCACATCTGTCTCTATCAATAACTTGCAGCTTCTTGAAGGAAAGTGCCAGACCTAGACTCCTCCACGCTGTTTTTTTCTTTTTTTTTTTTTGGAGAGGTTTTTGCTCTAGGGCGCGTGCGCTTGCCAGACAGACAGAGAGAGACAGAGAGACAGAAAGTGAGAAATCAGACCCAAGGGGGATGGCCACTCCACAATCCCTTCTCCTCCATTCTCCTCCCAGGATCTTGGGCACGCACGCACATGTGCCTGGCATGAGTTTAAGCCACCGGGTCCAGACTCGAACCAGTTGATTACATGGGAGTCCAGCGACAAACCATTACGCCAACTACTGGTCCCTCTTTTATTTTTTAAGAGTTTTTTTTTTTTTTTTTTTTTCTATAAGGTGCACTCACCAGAAAGATAGACAGAAAGCAAGACATCACCCCACAGAGGGGATGGCCACACCGCAATTCCTTCTCCTCCATTTTCTTCCTGAGATTTTGGGCATGCACACACATGTGCCCAGCGTGAGTTTAAGCTGCCGGGTCTAGGACTTGAACCACAGTTGATGTGGGAGTTCAGTGACATCATGCCATTGGCTGGTACCGTCACGCTGTTTCTTATGGGCGCACTGCTCTGAATTGGGGCTGGGGCTGTCCTGGAGGAGCTGGCAGCCTTGAGACTGGCTCCTGGACACAGCTGTGGGCAATGGCCAGGTGGAGCCTTGGAGCCAGCTGAGAGGCCAGGTGGCATGCTAGGGAGTGTGAGCTCAGGAATGAGGTGGACCTGGGTATGAGTCCCAGCTTCCTGGACTGTGATGAGATGAGATGGGGCGAGTCACAACCTCTTCCTTGTAAGACAAGAACGCCAGGTGCTTGTCAGGGTAGACATGGCAGACACACCATATCCGTGAAGTGCCAGAGAGGGAAGGCAACAGTGAGAGCGCCTTCATGGGGCGTGGTTCTCCCTCTCCCCGGGACTTCAGGCACTGCCTAAATGACCCATGGGTGTCCTAAGCCACTGGGGCTGGGACTCCAGCAGTGCTGCCATGTGGGACCCAGCTCCCTTAACTAGGAGACGGGGCTGCTGGCTGGCCCACTGTTTTTTCCCCCCAATTTTGCTATAGGGCATGTGCGCTCACCAGAGACAGCCTAGAGAGCGGGCGAGAGACCACCCCCCAAGGGGATGGCCACGCCATTCTCCTCCATTCTCCCCTTGGGATTTCAGGCATGCACACGTGTTCTTCAAGCCCCAGGTCTGGGACTGGAACCACGCAGTCGGCCTCCTTCGCCATGCCCCTGGCTGGTCCAGGCCGTAGCCTCCGCCTCCCTCCTCCGTGAGGGACAGAGGGCGCACCCCTGCTGCCACCACCCGGATGATGGCTACGTGCACAGGGTGCTCGGCGAGGTCTCCGGGTGCAGACCGGAGTCTTCCACAAAGTCGCCTCTCAGAGCGTAGTCTGCGCTCCGTGCCACCAGCTAGCCCCCAGGAAGGGGCTTCGGAACTTTGACGGCTGAAGCTAGAGACAGGGCGTCCTGGAAGAAGGTCCGGTCCTCTCCCTGGGGTCCGAACACAGTCGCGGAGCTTGCTTGAGTTACAGGCAGAGGCGGCCGGCCTGTAGAGCAGGGCTTACGTGCTGTGCGTGGAAGGGTCGCTCCCATGTGGCCGACCACAGTGCACATCCCAGCCCCAGCAGCTTGACAAACATGCCGGGCACACGTCTGCGCCTGCCCAGAATCCCCAGGGGCTGGAGAAACGAAGGGAACATGCCTTCTCCCATGCCTTCTGGCAGTAACAAACAGAATCGAGACCAGAATAAAGCCAACGGCATCGCAAACATACATTCACACGTGCATGTCCATGGGACTAACGGAGAGCGTGGGTCTCACCTTGGGGCTGGCTGCACATCCCCGTAACCCTGACCAAGCCAGGGACCACCGCACTCACGGGTGGGAGGAGAGCTTGGCCCATGGCAGTTGTGGCCTGAGGGGACGAAGTGACAAGGGTGGCGGAGGGTCCGCCATGGCAGGGGTCCAGTCTCCCACCCTGGTGGCCCAGCCAGGCCTCAGCAGGGATGGCCAGCCGCCTCACTTGGCCCCACTCCACCAGCACGAGAGCACAGCGTGCAGGCCAGCGGGGGTGAGCACCCTTGGGGCAGCCCTCAGACAGCTGGGGTGAGTTGGTATAAAGCTGGTCCAGCCCACGGAGGGCTAATGCTGTGCTGGGCTCAGGGGGAGCCCTAAGAGGGTCCCCAGCAGGACCGAGCCCCGGTTGGCGACCAGCGAGTGAGTGGCCACCATGGGTTTTGCCTCTGTCCCTGTCTCGCTCTCCCACTCCCTCACTCCTGCTT